AGGGAAGTTTAGCTTTAGGCATTTTAATTTAAGCATGTTTAGCTTAGTTAACGGAAGGCTACCTGCTGCCATCAGAGCAAGTGTAATTACTGCATTCACGCGCTCCTTGGATGCTCTCATTCCCCGAGTTGTGCTTTTAAGTCGGAATGTGAAAACAACATGGACACTCTCGTTACTACAAGATGTGTTGGATTATTAGAGCTTTCCGACTTGAGTTCACGTGCATTTTCTCAGTCGGGAAATAATTTTTCACGTGCGGTACGTGCCAATGATGATGATTCTTACGTCCGCTTCGGAGAACCGGAGGAAATATTTCAATCGATCGCTCAGGCATGGCACCGAAATGAGGCACTGCTTTCAGATGGAGCAGCATTTACTTCACAGAGCCGTAGTTCACTGAGAAGCTATGCAAACAGCTGTAATAATCATAAGCGATTTTTTTGCGTAACTTGTCAGTGAACTACGGCTCTGTGTAGTAAATGCTGCTCCATCTGAAAGCACGTGATGATGATTTACTGCTGATTACAGAACCGGCATTACTAACAAAATGCGCATGACAATCGCATTCGATTAATCGTGCAGCCCTAACTGAAAGTAATCTCGATTTATCCAGTGTTGTCTTATATACCCACTGTATGCTCCGACTACACTCTAACATGCTTTATTGTCCTCTTACTGTCTATAATGTCGCTCTCTTCTGTTCAATGTATGCCTGGAACAACAAATTTCCATCTCAAGCACTTTAATCCATTGATTTTAAGGGGCCTTATCAGATAAATGACTTCATATCTCCTGTAGGAACAGATAACCAGCCATTACAGAAATCACAGAAGGCTAAATGACTATCGTCCAGTGCGGCTTACATCAGCTGAGCACATCTGAGGTAATTAGAGGGCAGGTTTCTTTCTAATCAGAAGAGCAGAGATATGCTATTATTCTGATCTGAACCTGTGACTGCTATAATAGAGAGAAGATGACAACGACTTGCACTTCTGGTTATTCAACACTACTTTTAATTACAGAAAGAAGCGACAATTGCTACTTATGGGCTGTTATGTCAGATGAAGTCACTTCTGGCAAATAGAAGACAATAAAAGGAAAAAGATGGTGGATAGGGATGGTAGGGATACACCCTATTCATTATCAGACATATTGATAACTGAGGAAACATACTCATAGTCGATGACAAGATGTAAGTGGACTAACTTAAAGGTACCCTGAAGTGCCTTGAAACACGCAGCATTATGCTGGTGATGTAATTTCAACTGAAACAGGAAGAGAGGGCGGGACATATCGAGCAGCCCTGCTCCCCTCTTTAAAATAGCCAATAGCGTTTTGTTTATATCTGCTCAGGCCAGAGCCGTTGAGCTCAGTAAAGCTGCATTTGACAGCCACAGTCTAATAGATTACCCCCTAGATTCAATATGAAACTCTTAGTAAAACAAAATAGTGGTCATAATCATGCTGAGTCTGTGTAGTTGTAAACGTTTTTAATATATGCCGACTCGTGCATATGATCCGCTCCGTGCGATCGTGTCTCTGGACCGGAGCCAAAGTCCGGATCAGACTGTGTGCTGCCGCGGTTCGCGTGAAACAACGTGAAACCAGACCTCATTTGCCCCAATCGAAAGCATATTTACACTGTCTGAATTGCTCATCACCTACATTGTGCACTTCGAGCCATTCACTGTACAGGAAATACTACACTGTGAACAAGTGACCAATCTCAGCCGCTTCAGCGTCTATTTATAGTGCAGGGGGCCGGCGCTTCTGATTCTAGAGAGCATTTGATTGGTCAGAAGATTTGATGAGATGAAGTACGACGTGACGTCAAAAAAATTGTTGAGCCATTTTGGCGGAAGTGATGAACTGCAAGCTTTGAATGCTTATATCTTCTAAATGCAAATTTTGTCACTGTTTTGGAGCACACTGCCTTATAGATAACCTTAAGACTAACATATTGATACTAACACCCAAAAAAACTTTTAATTTTGATTTCATGGGGACTTTAAACTGTAGTAATATTTCACAGTATTACTGTTTTTACTGTATTTTTGATCAAATAAATGCAGCCATGGTGAGTATATG